TACCGCGTGGTGTTTGTATTTCTGTGAACACACAGCCAGTCCGTTTCTAGGCTTTGTTTCTCTGTGTGCTTAGTTTTAAAGACAACTTTGAAGTAAACAATGAAATAAAAGATGTCACTAAAACCTTTGAGGCTCCTGAGCACATTTTGCTGATATAGTCTGTGGGGCTTGAGGAGACCGCATGTATTGTTCTTTCTTTTGTTTTTCTTCTGAGTTCTCAGCTGCAGAAAGCACCTGAACCCCCTTTCTTCCTTTTTGACTGCAGGCTGCAGTTTGGGCCCCAGCCAGCCCTTTTTCTTTTGTTGTTCTTCCCTGGAGCGACTCTGCGGGGAGCCCTGGATCCCGCTTGCCCCTTCCCCTCAGCCCCATGCCTGTTCCTACAGTCTCCACAGCAAAATGTGATGCTTTGATTTTTTGTTGTTTTTGTTTTTGTATTGTTTTTGTGTTTTTGTTTTGGATTTTTTCCTTTCCTACTAAGATTATGCCCAGAAAAAACAAGTTTTGCATGTTTCCTGCTGTTTCTTCACACCTTCGTATATATCACCTTCACCTCTCTGTTTTCTATAGTTTGTGCAAAAACTGACCGATTTAAAAGGGTTTCAAAGAAGCTGTTTTAAATTGTTGTAGGGTTGATTATTTTTTTCAAGATTGTATTGTTTTATTTTGAAGTGGCAACTTTCTCCTCTATTGCCCTTAGAGTGTTTGCCTGTGCACTTAGACTGTCACTTCGTGTGGCCTCCAGGTCTCAGCCGGGCGTCCAGGAGGCTGGCTGCTCTGCTCAGAGAGGGTGGGAAGGGGGCCTGGAGAGACACAAGAAGCAGAGGTAGAGCCCAGAAGGTGGCAGCGGGTGGGCAAGAGGCTTATTTAGCGCATTAGGGGCAGTGAGCACCCGGAGGAAGGAGGGTGCTCCCAACCACCCGTAGGAGGCCATCTGCGCACCAAGCGACAATGCACCTGCTGGTGCTTTTCCTAGGTGACAAGCACAATACTACAGTCTTCACACTGTTTACAGCCCTGGGCACCAGCCAACCCCGCACTGGCTCTTCACCACAGCTCTGCTCTTACTTAGCTAGTGGGGTAGGGGGAAAGGGCAGGTATTTGTTTTTTAAATTGGGTCTGTGAAGAGCCAAACAGCTACTGTCCCTGGGTGCCAGGCAAGCCAGTTTTTTGGTTCCCTGAGGGAAACTGACCCTCTTCTCTTGTGGCACCATCCAGCCTCAGGGTCTTGGAGACTTGAGTAAGAATGTGAGTGGAGGGGGAGAGGCGAGGAGAGGAGAGGTCACAGGGTGGATCTGTGGAGGGAGGAAGAGGTTACAGGGGGAGGAGCTGATGATAGATCCCACCCAGACCTAAGCTGCTGGTGGGTGGGTGAGCTGCAAAGTAGGACTGTCCAGGGAAGGGTGGAGAGATGTAGCTAGGGGCTGGGTAGAAGCGCTGTTGAGCATCCTCCACGCCAAGGTTGGTGAAGGAAGGGATCCCAGCAGGGTTTCTGCTCTGGGACTGGCAGGTTGCCTGGTATTATGCCCAAGGCCACTCTGCCTAGGGGAAAGGGCAGCCAGGTGGAGGCTCAGTGTCTGGTAGGCTGCTGAATTTCCTGGAAGGGGTGATTGGATGGAAAGAGGCCAGAAACCCCAGCCTGAGAGACTGCTGTGCGCCCCACAGTCTGACTGCACAGAGCCGCCTCTGTTGGCAGGAGGCGCTGAGGCTCCCCTTCCTGTGTATTGAGAAGCTCTGTTTGCCAATATATTTTGCTTTCAATTCCAAGAGGAGCTCTGGGAAAACCTGTGGATAAAACCAAATGCCAAATGTTGGACGTTGTTTCCTTTTCCTTTTCTCTCTGATTGTTTTAATTGTTCTGTGGTGGTTTTAATGGATTTGAGACCCTGGAGCGGCAGCTGCCTTTCTGATTTCCAGCTGCTTTTTGTGAATAATTTAAAAAGAAAAAAAAAAAGAAACTTTACATTTTGGAGACAAACCTGTGTGAGTTTTTTATTGGTACAAACGTTGTATTTAACACTAGGGGTTTTGTACAGTTTTTTGCCTTTTCTACTAGAAAACAATGTAAAGTGATTTCACAATGTGAAGAGAAAAAAAAAAATTGCCACTATGACCAAACGCACAGTCTGTTCTGCAGCAACAACGGGATTCAATCAACTCAGTCGTGATTCAGCCGTAGAAATGCTTTTCCTTTACCTTGTTTGAGCTTTTCCTTTCTTTTCTGTTTTGATTTGCGAAGAAAATGTCTTTTTTGTGTGAACTTGTGTTGTACTCTGTAGAAAATTATGGATTTTACTTTAATGGTTTAAAAAAAAAAAAAAGGCAAGAAGAGCCCTTATTGCTTTTCTTAACCTAATCACAGAGTTTGTGTAGTGAATTTAAAAAGAAAAAAAATTGTTACAAGTTTGGAGCAAGGGAGTATGTGTTTCAAAGGAATCTCCTTCCTTTTTTTGTGTGTTTTTCCTTTTGTCCCAATGGGGAACCTAAATCTGTTTTAATTGCACAGACACACGGACAAAAAGTCATTTTGTATCTGCCAAGTGTGGTACCTTCCTTTGTTTATTTGCTATTAAACTGTTTGAGAAGAACTGATGTCTTCAGAGTTACTGATTGTTGGGGTGGGCGGTGGGCCCTTGGAGCGGGTAGGGTTGCCATGTTCCTGAAGAAGGAGTGTGGGTGCCTGTAAGACTTCATTTTGATACACCTGAAGGTGTGCATCCTGAAGGAAAGTATAATTTCTCCCCAGAAAACCACTTTCCCTGTCTTTTTGTATTCTCCAGGATTCCTACTTATGTGGAAACTTTTTTTTTTTAATGGAAACATTTGAACTTTTCTGCCAACCTTAGTTTTTGAGCTTCTGTTCTTGGCTGCTCCCTGAAATCAGGCAGTAAAGAAGCCCCATACTTGGTTTAGCCAAGTGTCTCCCAGACTGGATTCTGTTTGCTGTCTACTTGTCCCCAAAAAGAAGGGGCAGCTTGGGGTTTTGAGAAGATTTTGTCTGCCAAGTTCTGCATTTGAGTGTTCCTTTGTTCACGTCCCCATTTTTATTCATTAAAAATGTTTAAAAATAAGAACCTATATGCAAATAATTATCCTAGCTAATGTTGATTGTTTACCACAATCAGGCGTTCAGGATACACGTGATATCCACTACATGTTCCAGTGTTTATATTATCCCTGGGAAGTACCTAGTGTTCCCATCCTCATTTTCAGATGAGCAAACAGGTTAAAAGAAATTGGGTTGCCTGCTAGAAAGTGGTGTGCACTGGGAATCAAACCAGGTTGCCCAACTCCTGAGCCGTTTCTCCTAAGCACTACGAAATAGAATTCAAAAGCCGGGCCGGGCGTGGTGGCTCATGCCTATAATCCAAGCACTTTGGAGGCCAAGGCGGGCGGATCACCTGAGGTCAGGAGTTCAAGACCACCCTGATCAACATGGTGAAACCCCGTCTTTTAAAAAAAAAAAAAAAAAATTCAAAAGCCAATAAATGTGCAGTAGTTAACCTGTGTCTCATCACAGATGTTTGCTCTCTGTCCTCTAGGCCCCAGTGAGAGGAGCTTAGAGGACCCATGGCTTTTGTGGCTCCCCTGGGAGGTGACTCACTGCAGCTGCGCCTTCCTTAAAGTGGCCGTTCTGGTGTTTGAGAGGTTCACTGGTAACTGGTGTGTCAGCAGGCTCCTGCAGGGCACTGTTGCCTGTGGGGAGGGGTGACTCCTAAAAGGCATTCCTTTCCATACTCTCACCTCACTAAACCTGGGACCAGCTCAACCACTGTTTACCTGGTGTCATTTGTTTTTATTGTTGCAAAATCAAATTTGCCATTTTAATCACTTTTAAGTATAATTTCTAAAAATTTTGTTTTACTTTGGAATATAGATTCAAGTTGCCCTGAATATATACTCCCTATGATTTTATAATTTACTGCCATTAAACACATTCACAATGCTTCTGTAATCATCAACAGCTAATTTTTTATTATTTTTGAGAAAGGGTCTCACTCTGCCTCCCCGGCTGGCATACAGTGGCACAGTCATTGCTCACAACAGCCTCAGCCGCCCCAGGCTCAGATGATCTTCCCACTTCAGCTTCCTGAATAGCTGGGACTTACAGGCATATGCCATCACGCCTAGCTAATTTTTGTATTTTTTTGTAGAGACAGGTGTCGCCATGTTGCCCAGGCTGGTCTTGAATTCCTGGGCTCAAGCAATCTGCCTGTCTTAGCCTCCCCAAGTGCTGGGATTACAGGCATGAGCCACCATGCCCGGCTCCGTTACCACCTAATTTTGTGAATCAACTTGAAATGTACTTTTTTCAGCTTCATTCTGATCCACTGATATTTGTGAAATAAATTTGGTATAATTATTACATTTAAAATACACATTAGCGGGTCTCAGTGGCTCACACCTGTAATCCCAACACTTTGGGAGGCCGAGGCGGGAGGAGCAATTGAGACCAGCCTGGACAACAGAGTGAGATCCTGTCTCAACAAAAAATAAAATTAGCCAGGCATTGTGGCATGCACCTGTGGTCCCAGCCACTTGGGAGGCAAAGGTGGGAATATTGCTTGAGCCCAGGAGGTCCAGGCTGCAGTGAGCTGTGATCATGCCACTGGGCTCCAGCATAGGTGACTGAGTGAGAGAGACCCCGTCTCCAAAAATACACAAACCCACACACAAATATATTTATAACCATTGGTATATAAAATGGCCATTGAGTGCCTTCTCAGTGAGTTTTGCATTTCACACTTGGGGAAATCGGTGTAGTGGAGGGCAAGGGTAGAGAAGCAGAGGCTTCCTCCTCAGACTCTTTCTGGGCCTTTTAAGTACAACCTGAGCATCTTTCAATTCAACGTCATGCCTAAAGGCTGTTGCTTCTTTTTAAAATTAATCTAAAAAAGGGAGTATGTCCAGTACTGTTGCAGCCTTTTTAAAAAGTTTATGCTTTGGCATATTATAATAATAAAGCTGTATCTTCATTTTGTGTTTTGTTAAGTTTGGTCTTGTTTTGAGACAGAGTCTTGCTCTATCAGCTAGGCTGGAGTGCAGTAGCACACTCTGTGCACTGTAACCTCCACCGCCCAGGCTCGCTTAAGCAACTCCCTTGCCTCAGCCTCAGGTTGTGCCCCACCACAGCTGACTAATTTTTTGTATTTTTAATAGAGACGGGGTTTCACCATGTTAACCAGACTGATCTCAAACTCCTGGCCTCAAGTTGATCACCCACCTTGTCCTCCCAAAGTGATGGGATTACAGACGTGTGCCATCTTGCCCGGCCATTGTTTTGTATTCTTTGAAAACCTCTTAATCCTTCTGTAGCTTGCTCCACACCTGCTTTTTTGCCACATTCCTGTGGATCTGGTTGGTAGAGGCACTGCTGCACTGACTTTCTCGGTCAGCACACAGCTTCCCTAGTGCTCATGTACTGTGCTTACCTGAGCAGCTCAGTCCCTGATGAGGAAAAGCCACCAGGCTGGCTATTAAACACCAGGTGGTTCCTGCACCTCAGGGAATGTCAAACTCATGTCTGATAATATTTCCCTTCGGGAGATAATCGGAAGTGGCCTTGCCTTGCTCCTTCTGCCTTCCAGCATTTTCCTTCCCTCTCAGGAGACCTTTCCAACCCCCACCATCTGGTGTTTAATTTCTTTCACATTCACTGACTTTCTCTGTACTGGGATAAGGCTCCATCTAGAGGGAATGCTCTTTTTTTTTAAAAATCGAAGCAGAGGCCGGGCGCGGTGGCTCACGCCTGTAATCCCAGCACTTTGGGAGGCCGAGGCGGGTGGATCACAAGGTCAAGAGATCGAGACCATCCTGGTCAACATGGTGAAACCCCGTCTCTACTAAAAATACAAAAAATTAGCTGGGCATGGTGGTGCGTGCCTGTAATCCCAGCTACTCAGGAGGCTGAGGCAGGAGAATTGCCTGAACCCAGGAGGCGGAGGTTGCGGTGAGCCGAGATCGTGCCATTGCACTCCAGCCTGGGTAACGAGCGAAACTCTGTCTCAAAAAAAAAAAAAAAAAAAAAAAAATCGAAGCAGATTAGGCACGGTGGCTCATGCCTGTAATCCCAACACTTGGGAGGCTGAGGCAGGCGGATCAGGAGTTCGAGACCAGTCTTGCTAATAACATGGTGAAACCCCGTCCCTATCAAAAATACAAAAATTAGCCAGGCATGCCAGCAGGCACCTGTAATCCCAGCCACTCAGGAGGCTGAGGCAGGAGAATCTCTTGAACCTGGGAGATAGAGTTTGCAATGAGCCAAGATCATGCCGCTACACTCCAGTCTGGGAGACAGAGTGAGATTTCATCACAAAAATAAACTTGAAAGCAGTCTTGGGATGGGAAATTGAGCACTCTCAGCCAGGAAGGGCCTTCTCGCAGTCCGTGACACTTGCCTTGGCCAGGTCTTGCGCTGCCCTACCCAAGGTTTTTTCATTAGTGAGGGTGGGTTCTACTAATCTGAAGCCTCTTGAGATTTGGGTTGTATTTAATTTTTTGTTTGTTTTTTAGTAGAAACGGTTTCACTATGTTGACCAGGCTGGTCTTGAACTACTGACCTCAGATGATCATCCGCCTCAGCCTCCCAAAGTGCTGGGATTACAGGCGTGAGCCGCCTCGCCCAGCAGATTTGGGTTGTATTTAAACAGCTTTATTGCACAGCGTGGTGGCTCATGCTTGAAATTCCAGCACCTTGAAAGAGGCCAGCAGATCACTTGAGGCCAGGAGTTAAAGACCAGCCTGGCCAATATGGCAGAACGCCTTCTCTACTAAAAATTAAAAAATTAACCAGGCATGGTGGCGCATGCCTGTAATCCCAGGTACTCAGGAGGCTGAGACACAAGAATTGCTTGAACCCACGAGGCAGAGGTGGTTGTGAGTCAAGTTTGCACCCCTGCACTCCAGCCTGGGGAGCAAAGTAAGACCGAGACCCTGTCTCAAAATAATAATAAACAGATTTATTGAGATATAATTCACACACAGCACAACTCATCCACTTCAAGCATACCGTTCACTGGGTTTTAAAGTTGTGCAACCATTAATGCAGCCTAATTTTAGAACATTTTCAGCACCCTGTACTCATTATACTCATTAGCAGTCACTCCCCATCCCCTCCCTCACTCTCTTTCCCATCTCCTAGTAACCATGAATCCACTTCTGTCTGTACCTTTGCCGATTCTGGACATTTCGTTAAAATACAGTCATATGATATGTGGCCTTCACTTAGCCAACATCCTAAGGTATTTCCTCCTTTCTTCCTCCTACTTGAAAACTAGTGGGAGCACCCGCTGCACCCGCTGCCTTGTACCACCTGCACCTGCCGTCCCTCATCCTTCTGAGCTTGTCTGCCTCCAATCCAGCCTTGTTTCTGCAGCCCCTGTCCCTTCAGCTCTCCCAGCATCTCTTTCTGGTTCCCTATATTATCTGCCTCAGCCTCAATCTGGAAGGCCTGTAGACCCACATTGTCTGATACAGTTACCCACTAAGCACTGGAGCTTTTTTCATTTAAATAAAAATTGGTCCAGCACGGTGGCTCACGCTTGTAATACCAGCACTTTGGGAGGCCGAGGTGGGTTGATTACCTGAGGTTAGGAGTTCAAGACAAGCCTGGCGAACATGGTGAAACCCCGTCTCTACTAAAAATACAAACGTTAGCCCAGCGTGGTGGTGGGTGTCTGTAATCCCAGCTACTCAGGAGGCTGAGGTGGGAGAATCACTTGAACTCGGGAGGCAGAGGTAGCAGTGAGCCAACATCACGCCACTGCACTGCAGTCTGGGCAACAGAGTGAGACTCTGTCTCAAAAAATAACAAAAATGTAGTGCCTCGGTTTCACTAGCCACATTTCAAGTATTCAAGTGACTGGTGGCTGTCCTATTGGACAGTGCCAATACAGCACATTTCCATCATCAGGCAGTGGCAGGACTGTTCTAGACAGTTTGCTTTTTTTTTTTTTTTTGGAAATGGGAGTCTCTGTTGACCAGGCTGGAGTGCAGTGGCAGCATCTCGGTTCACTGCAGCCTTTGCCCTCTGGGTTCAAGCGAGTAGCCACCTGAGTAGCTGGGATTACAGGCGCCCGTCACCAGGCCCAACTAATTTTTGTATTTTTAGTAGAGACAGGGTTTCATCATTTTGGCCAGGCTGACCTCAGATGATCTGCCCACCTCAGCCTCCCAAAGTGTTGAGATTACAGATGTAAGACACTGCGCCCAGCCTACTCTGCTTTTAAGAAAACAAAACCTGGCCGGGCGCGGTGGCTCACGCCTGTAATCCCAGCACTTTGGGAGGCCGAGGCGGGTGGATCACGAGGTCAAGAGATCGAGACCATCCTGGTCAACATGGTGAAACCCCGTCTCTACTAAAAATACAAAAAATTAGCTGGGCATGGTGGTGCATGCCTGTAATCCCAGCTACTCAGGAGGCTGAGGCAGGAGAATTGCCTGAACCCAGGAGGCGGAGGTTGCGGTGAGCCGAGATCGCGCCATTGCACTCCAGCCTGGGTAACATGAGTGAAACTCCGTCTCAAAAAAAAAAAAAAAAAGAAAGAAAACAAAACAAAACCTCCATTTATTAATCAGCCACACCTACTGTGCTCATCCTCCCAGCAACTGTTAGCATAGGAAGATAGGCACAGAGAAGCTCCCAGTTCTTCTGTTCACGTGGCTAAGAAGTAAAACAGTTGCATTTTCATGCAGGCCAGCCTGACCTCATAGTCCTGTAGAACATATTCCTTTGAGCGTTCATGAAGGTGGACCCTGGGGTGCCCTGGTTTAAACTCCACCTCTGGAAAGAAGCTTCATGAAGGCAGGAGCCATACCTACCTCCTTTCTCACTGGAGACCTCACCATTCCTCACAGGCTGGCAGGTAAGTATTCAGTAGACATTTCTGTGACCATGCAACACAAATGACGGCCAAGTCCCTCAGAGCAGCTTTACAGGAGTTTTTTTCTTTTGAGACAGAGTCCCGCTCTGTCACCAGGCTGAAGTGCAGTGTCGCTATCTCTGTTCACTACAACCTCCCCCGGATTTGAGCGATTCTCCTGCCTCAGCCTCCCAAGTAGCTGGGACTACAGGCACGCACCACCTTACCCAGCTAATTTTTTTTTTTTTTAAGTAGAGACGGGGTTTCACCATGTTGGCCAGGATGGTCCCGATCTCTTGACCTCATGATCTACCCTCCTCGGCCTCCCAAAGTGCTGGGATTACAGGCATGAGCCACCACACACAGCTTTTTACAGGAATTCTCATACAACTTCCAAGACAGCTCACCGGGAGCCCTGCCACTTGGAGTTGATGCCAGCACCTGTTTCAATAGCAGAGCCCTGTGTTTTTAGAGGTTCCCCCTTGGCAGTCAGGGAAGACCCCAGGGTAGGGGAGCCTGCCTACCTGTGGCCCTTCAGCCCCAAGAGTGCCACCATTCTGCTCTTCCCTAGATTGGGATGTGCCTGGAGCCCAAAACACATAGCAATGACTTGTTTTCAAAATCAGGTGAGGGTTTGAGTTTTTTTTTTTTTTTTTTTTTTTGAGAAGGAATTTTGCTCTGTCACCCAGGCTGGAGTGCAGTGGCATGATTTCAGCTCCCTGCAACCTCCGCCTCCTGGGTTCAAGCTATTCTCCTACCTCAGCCTCCTGAGTAGCCAGGACTACAGGCATACGCTTAGTTCTTTTATAAAAAAGGAAAACATTTAGGTGGTTCTTTAAAAGGCTCAGGGGCCAGGCATGGAGGCTCATGCCTGTTATCCTAGCACTTTGAGAGGCTGAGATGGGTCAATAACCTGAGGTCAGGAGTTCGAGACCAGACTGGACAACATGGCGAAACACCTGAGGGCAGGAGTTGGAGACTGGCATGGTCAACATGGCAAAACCCTGTCTACTAAAAATACAAAAATTAGCTGGGCGTGGTGGCACATGCCTGTAATCCCAGCTGCTAGGAGAGGCTGAGGCAGGAGGATCCTTTGAACCTGGGAAGTGGAGGTTGCAGTGAGCTGAGATCATACCACTGCACTCCATCCTGATCAACAGAGCAAGACGTGGTCTAAAAATAAGTAAATAAA